TTTCAGTCATTTTGTATTACAAATGGGAAATTGATAATCAGTTTGATCATCTGATTATCAATTTCCCGTTTGTAATGCAAAATGACTGAAAAACGGCAAACTTCGCAAGGCTATATTATCCGCATTTTACAACATTTCGCAACGAAACTTCGGAATATTACTAATTTTGTGATGCTCTTTCAAGCTGTGATGAAATTGTTGTCCAGGCATATCTAGATCAAAATTTCACTCGTAAGGGGAAAGGTCTATTAAGCAATCATTTCCTTAGTTGTCTTTTTGTTTTCTTTTCAGGAACAGTCAGAGGAAGATGGGTATCATATTTATTTTGTTTCCTCTAAGGCAAAATAGATATAAATTCCTTGATTAAGCCGGTATTACCCTGCATGTTAATTCCAGGGAGTAGGGTTATTTTGAACTCTAAATGTGGAGTGAAATTGGGTTCAAAATAATTCCGCTGGAGTTAAATTAACTCCCTAAAATTAACAGTGTAGGATTGCTTTTTCTTTCAGTATGAATGTTTTATAAAATATTTAGAGAACTTGTTATGGGAAGCAAGGCTTTACCCTTTTACCCTTTTATTTAAAAGATAAGGTACCCCTGTCCTTGAAATAAATTGTTGTTAAAATGCTCGGACCCTTTTTGAAAAATTTCAATGTATTTCCTTGACAGAAATATTTCATTGATTTCCCCCCCTAGATTTTATTGGTTAATCAGTAGGCGTTCAACAGCATGTGTTTTTATGTCAGGTCCGGGGATAGAAAAGATTCCACAGCCGAACCACTTTACAATCTCACCGGCGAAGTTTTTGAATTGAAAGGGGGTTAGTATATATGGTCTTTATTTACTAATTAAGCCTACATAACTTTATCAAAGTGCCAAGTTTTGCATGGTGATCACTTTTTATTGAGTATAGGTGCGTCTTGAGAATGCAAGATAAAAATCATGAAATATAACCATGTAAAATGTTGTCTTGATTTTTTATCCATATCTTGGATTTTCATGATGCATCTATATTTGGAATTTGTTTTATTTTATATTTTTTCAAATTGTCGACTGGAAATGGATTTTTAACATTGATGTGTGCATGTCATGTATTTTTATTAGTTTTCAAATGGCTCCGTCGAACTCTGATTGCTTTTGTCCAGGTAACCTTTGGCAGAACGATCAACAGGTCGGTATATCATTTAAATATAAGTTCAACACCAACTGGAAATTTAATATTTATTAAAAATTGCAACACGGTAAAAAGTAATTGGTCAAAATAACGCATTCATTTGATGATATACTGTACATAGGCAGTTTCGGCCCGCACTGAGTTTTGTACCTAGAGAGTGAGTAGAGTTCAAATATCATCAAGAGTTCTTTAAATCGGGCTGACATTTCATATGGGCATTATACATGCCTTAGCTTACACAATCGATTCTACTATTAGACCAGTGAATCGATTATATGATACACGTCGCTTCCTTGACTCTCACGCAAGTCAAATAGTAGACATAGTCAGCATTTCAAATTATAAATAAGAATACAGACTGAATGTTGCTTGTTGTCCTTAGCAGTGTAGAAATAGCTAAGTTGATGTGTCCAAATGGAGTGGAATCATTAGCTGAAAGATTACTTTTTTGTCTCCCAACCGAAGACGTTGGGTCTTCGAACACTCAGAAAGTGTTTCGCCAGTGAATTGAACTTCATTTGGACACTCCAAGTTACTATTTCCACATTGCTGAGGACAACAAACAACAGTCTGTATTTTTATTAATCATTTAAAGTGGCGAACGTTTTAAATGGGGAGCCCCCCAGTGGCGAGGTTAGTCATGGCAACTGGTCCTGCTGTGCTAATAAACCGGCATCTAGCTACTAGATTAAAGACAATACATTTTTAAAGGTCTGGATAGTAGAGGTGTGCAAATCCGATCCGAATTGTTAAAGTTGTTTCGTACTCGGATCGGGTCAGATCGGACTTCGATATTCGAAATAAAATGAATGAATTATATATAATAATTATTATTTGGTTAAATATTTCCACTTGAATGAGAAATTTATTTTATTAAAGGATTCTTCGGAACGGATCGGAATTCTTTATCACAACTCGGATCGGATTCGGATTAGACAATTTCGGATCGGATCGGATTTTAAACATTAGCCAATTGTCCGATTATAAACGCCCAATCCGATCCGATGCACACCTTTACTGGATAGTGCAAATCATTTAACATTTGCATAGCTCAGTATGGCTAGCTCGCCACTGGGGCTTAGGCTACCACCATACCACCACCGTTTCTTGCTGGAAATCTCAGTTTAGACTTTGTTGCCTTAGATTTCATGCAATATAAAGCAAAATCGTTTGGCAACGACAATTACATATATAATTGCAAGGCAAATCGTTTTAGCCGTGGACGCAGGCTTTTAGCCAGAAGGGCGCCCCTAGAACGAAAAATGGACGCCTTTGGACGCCCAAATTCTGGGGGAAAAGGGAAATTATTTTCAATAATTTCCGTAAGTATATTAATATATCTGAAACGAAATAGCTTCAATTCTCATTATTATTATACATTTGACATTTTGATCAGTGTACCTGGCTGAATGAAAATGTCGTATTTAAGTAAAGAAGCATAGCGGCACAAACTCGCAAAGCCAAGTGTGTTTGAAAAATTTCGAACAAGCTTGGAACAGATACTGACATGAAGTAACGTAAACTTCAAAGGTTTTCCAGAGGAACATTTTCTCGACCCCCTCTTTCTTTACTGTATATGTTTCGTTATACCAAAATTGGACGCCCTCTTTTAGGACCCTGGCTAAAAGCCTGCGTGGACGTCCATGTAATGAGCGGCAACAGGCTGAAATTTTCAAGTATATATCAGTGATTGTATAAATTAATTGATTTTTCCATTTGTAGGGAAATCAGAGAGTTGGTCGAGTGGGTGGTATCTGAACCAATGATTGTCTACTATATTCAATCATTTTGTGACGTCATGTGGCCTCAAGGCAAACTGGCCCCCGCAGCGCCTGTACGAACAGATGCTGTGAGTTTCATAATTTTGCTACATTGTTATCAACCTCTCTCCTATAGGGTGGCCAACTGCAGGAAAGCACCATTTTGTAGGTGTGCAAATCCGATCCGAATCCGTTCCGATCGGATTCGTTCGGATTTCGGAGCCAAAATATTGTTTCGTAGAATATAAAGTTGTTTCGTAGTCGGATCGGATCGGACTTCGATATTCGAAATAAAATGAATTAATTATCCACGTATTATCGCAAGAATTAATTATCCATGCATTTATCAAAGCATGATCGCGGTTGTCGCTGCATTTTTCGTTTGATACTTCAATTGGACGTCACTTTGTCAGCTTCTTGACATGTATTTCTTGCTTTTATATTTATTTGGTTAAATATTTCAACTTGAATGAGAAATTTATTTTATTAAAGAATTCTTCGGATTGGAATTCTTTATCAAAACTCGGATCGGATTCGGATTAGACAATTTCGGATCGGATCGGATTTTAAACATTAGGCAATTGTCGGATTATAAACGTCCAATCCGATCCGATGCACACCTCTACTCTATACTCGATTGATAATGGTATTACCTGTAGTAAGCAGTAGTTTAAGGATTCTCTCCAAATAGGGATATGTGCGCACGTTCCAAATTTTCGAATACGTTTTACAGCTGCATCTTTATCCTATTTTTGGCAACTTCAATATCCGCTGAATAAAGACGTGAAAAGAGCTGTTCCATCCTAGTTTTTTAACGTTGGTTAACTTCTTTTTCCCTGGATACAAACATTATCTTGCGAGCATGTCAACTACCGCGTTTCTCCTAAAGTACTGGGTCGTTTGAGTGCCATATCATATACCCTCAAAGTCGTTTATTGTATAATGTGTTTGTAGCAACAGAGTCTGTAACAATAGACTCTCCTTTTTCTTCAAAATATATTAATTTAATACATCAAACTACAAATTTAATACGCATTTTTTCGCCTATACGTGTGCGTCCGCGCAGTTCAATTATAGCGTGGGATGGCATATTGATACCCACGCATATTTCTCTAATTCTCATTTTTACGTGCGTGTGTGCTTTAGGAGAAAATAAAAACAAGGCGAAAAGTAAAAGAAAAATTGTTGGAAATGAGTCCAGGTATACAGCACGCAATGTCTTTTTTGTTAAAACCCCCTATGTATCGATCTGAGTTTAAGCGATGTTTCACGGAACGATTTCCAACGACGATTTGCAATGCAAATGAAGTTACACGAAACTTGATTGGTTCGACATCCCATTGCGTTATATCCTGGGTGCCAGACTGCGAAAGGTTTTTCCATGCTCGCTAAAAATCTCACGTTTTATATCATGCAATCCACTAGTTTTATATCATGCAATCCAATCGTGGTTGAAAATCGTTGCGTGTAACATCACCCTTCGAAGCACTGACATATAAAGTTGACTTTGGACTCTTCATTTATTGCAGAGGTTCTTCAGAACTTGGTGGGCAAAAGAAATTGCAAGCTTGGAATAATCAAGGTATACTGATAATTTTGTTTCACCAAACATTTTTCTCTGAAGTTTGAAACCAAGGAATTAGCCTTTCTCGTACTCGTTGATACGCCATCTTTGGGGCACTGCCTCTCCCAAGTCTGAGTGTAGCACCGCGAAATTCGACGTTTTGTCATTGTGTGAGAAAGGCTAATTCGCTTTATGGGATTACTGAGATCAATTGATGTATGCAACTCTTACATGCTTTCTTAAACCTGCATGTCGATGTTTCTATACCACAAGAAAAACTGAAACCATTCTTTTGTGTAAATAAATAATTTCTCCGTTGTGATCATTTCGACAACATGCTATAATTTGCGTAGATCTGGTACTTTTTGTTTTCAGCCAAGTAGCACATAGGTATGCGGCTCTCTCACTCGTACTCACAGCTTGCTTGTACCTTATCATATATGACCAGCAAATGTTCCAAGGTGATTAATACCATAATGAATTAGTTGCATGTGTAAATTCGAATCTTTGACGTACCGATTGATGTTGTATGAATGGAAGTATATGGAATCGCAGTGATACCATATAGTCACGTATGTAAAACAAGTGGCAAAGAGGCGTGCACGTGCGATCACGTGACTCTCAATGACTTGCTGATTCTGAGTGTATTGTGTTCTTTCTTATATTGTAATTGGCAGTTTCGAATAACAGAATGAATACATTTTAGAAAACTGCATATGAGGTGCTTTACTGGAACAAATAAATAATAAATATAGTTCAAGTACGTGGCAAAAATCATGCATTAACGCCCACACAGACCGGACGCGAATTGGCTACGCGACGCGAATTTTCAATGACATTTAACTTTAATATTTTTCTATGTTTTTCAAATATTTGGAACAACTTAAGCAATTTTAGCTATTTGGTCTGCATATCTTGTGAAATTTGTATCCGTTGACGGTTTTATTTTTTTTTAAAAAATGAAAATTCGCGTCGCGTTGTCGAATCGCGTTCGGTCTGTGTGGGCCTTTAGGGTACCAGTGCGGTCAGTACCAAATTTAAATTATCGCACTGCTCTATCTTTGAAATCCTTTGTTTTAAAAAGATTTTAAAAAATAATGTAAAAAATTCCAATAATTTATTTATATATTTATTTTTAATGTAAAATATTCGCATATTTGGGCACTCTTTTCAACATGTATCGTATAATTAATTATGCTATTATATTTTTAACATAATTTTTCCTTGCCAGATGTTTGAGGCTTTCCAAGATATTCGAACAAACAAACATTTGGCATATGTAAGTTTCCCATGCATGTTTCATCATTAACCTAACAGTCTTTTGATATGCTATCGCCACTATGTACTCAGTTTAAAACACGAGCTGGAGTGCTCGTGAATAACAATGAAAAACGTTTCATTTTTCTTTAGCTAATCACAAAATATGTTTATTTCATTGCCAACTGGAATTTAAAGGCACAGTTCAGTCTTTTGAATGTTGGTTCATAATTCAAGATCAACAAACTTAATGTTTTTAACATTTTAAAACATTTTTATTATTAAAAACATTGAGGTTTTTTCAATTAAAAAGGCTGAACTGTGCTTTTAACCATTCGACTAATTAGATAATTATTTATAACGCATTGCGATGTCAAAATGGAATTACCATGGATCAAGTCTTCATTGCAGCTAAACTGTTTTGTTTCCTTTTACAGTTGATATTTGAACTTTGCATATTCACTATCTTTCCTGAAATACGAGCTGAAACATCACAAGATTTGACAAGTGCAGACACTGTGAAGAACTCTGACGACGACGTATCTTAGTTACTAAGCACTTCTTACGTTTTAAGTTATTCACGTTATCTTGTACCTCAATCCTGAGACAAAAGTTATTTATTCAGCCTTTCGGACATAGGTTTAGGATAGGAATAGATTTTCGGGTGAATTTCCATATCAGTATTCTTGAATTCAAATTCTGTGATTTCCTGAAACTATTCCCATAATCCTGCCAATTCCAACCCTAATCCTAGTGACGTCAGTTGGGTTTAAATTTTGAACTGGGGTTAGGTAAGGGTTTAAGGTTGTCAGCTTGAATATAAAATAATTGTAAATTGAATGTGTATAGGCCACGCTTTTTATTTGTTGGATTATGATTGGATTTTGGTCACCAATATTACAGGGCGGGGAAAAAACAAAGAATGCCCAGTATGAATTGTCCTTCGGCTTCACGCGCATAGTCACGTGTCAATAGCGAGCTTAAGCAAGCGACGTTTTTGTCAACACGGACGTCACCCGAAAATTGGTAAAAATATTTTTTAGCGGCATTTTGCATCACGGCGCTCGTGCGAGGAAGCAAAAAACCGTAAAAAGCGTATATTTTGTGATATGTGTTGAAGATTACCACAAACTGACAAAAAACACAGTTTTTGGTTTTTAATCCAATCCCCCCCCCCCCACCAATTGAAATGAATATAATATAATAATAATAATAATAATAATAATAAAGACTTTATTGCAGCTTATCTACATGGTAGCTTTACATCTGCGTAACTGAAAACAATTAAATATATATAAATTGTTAATAATTGTTATAAATTTAAACTAAATTGTTAATAAGAAGAAACATTGCACTAATACAATACAAATAAGTCTATTCAAGGCGTAGGAATGCTCTGGATTTCAGTAATTGTTTCACTTCCCTCATGAATACGTTTAAGTCTGCACATGATCGTACTTCTGGGGGAAGATCATTGAATAAGTTCGCTGTTGTCTCCTGGAAAGTTCCTTTTATTAATGGAATCGACAATCGTGGTGCTGCATTAGAGCGTAGCGTTCTTCCAGGGTTATATACTTCCAGGGTTAAGTACTCAGGACAAGAGTCCTTGTTGTAGATTGCTCGGTGAGTATGCTTGAGGAGGTTTAATTGAGTTCTCTCCAAGGTTGGAAGCCATCCAAGCTGTAAGACATCTTTTCCTGAACAATAACGATTAGTGACGAAGCTGGCAGCAGCGTTTTGCACACGTTGCATTTTCTTTTGTAGATATGTGGGGAGAGGATAGCAAACGACATTATTAAAGTTTAGCTTATAAAGTACAAGACTTTCTGCTAATAGCTTTTTAGCATGTCGGGGTGTCATATTCCGAATTTTGCGCAAGGTTGAAAGTACTCCATAACAAGACGAGACAAGTTCCTTTACATGATGTGACCATTTGAGATCCTCACTAAGCCACGTACCGAGTAATTTAAAATTTTCAACTCTCAAGGGATATATTCTTTATGGTAAGAGGTGGCGTGATGTCTCCGAGATTATGAGTTCTTGACATCTGTCGAGTGCTTATCAGCATCTGCTTAGTCTTATTTTCATTCAACAAGAGATTGGATTCTGTGGCCCAAGTTTCGAGAGTTTGTATGTTGTCATTCATTTCTTGCACACATTGACTGAGATTTTTAGGAGTACAACTACGGTAAACTGTTGTATCATCGGCGTATTGGAAGCACCTGCAGGTAAAATCATTTTGGAGGTCGTTGACGTAAAGGTTGAAAAGCATGGGACCCAATATCGATCCCTGCGGAACACCAAACAACACGTCTGCTAGTTCAGATTGGCTGTCATTTACTTGAACAAGTTGTTTCCGACCAGTAAGGTAGTTAAGAATCCAATTTAACGATGAGTGTGAAAAGCCAATGGCATGAAGTTTCTTTATTATTACGGCAAAGTCCACTGTATCGAACGCCTTCGAGAAGTCGGCGAATGCAATAAGAGTAATTTCTCCTTTTTTCATAGCCTTTAATACATCGTCTCTTACTCGTAATAGGACAGATGAGGTGGCATGGCCTTTACGAAAGCCAGTAACATTCTCGTTTAATACATTATGCTGGTCGATGTATTTTACAATTTGATTTAGAATGAGGCGTTCATAGACTTTGGAAAGAGCCGGGAGAATAGAAATTGGTCTATAATGGTCTAACTCTGTCGGAGAGGCTACTTTGGGTATAGGTGACACACGTGCAGTCTTCCAAACATCTGGAAAGCTGTGATTTGCAATAAACCCGTTGATGATATAGGTCAATGGTGAGGCGATGTAATCAGCTGCCATCTTAAGGTATTTTACCGGAATCTGGTCAATTCCTGTCGAACAGTCAGATCTTATTGTTCTTAACTGATTCAGTACTTCACTATGGGCAACAGGACAAATATTAAACGAGTTGGACATACAGACTGGTAATGAGTTTACTAGTTCTTGCAAAGCACTTGGGGAAGTCGGCACTGACCCGAGTAGACGTTGCGAGGTAGAGCTGAAGTGGCTGTTCAATTGGTCGGGATCCGCATTTATAGGTTTGGGATTGGGATGAAGTATGCGGTGTATTACTTTCCAAAGTTCTTTCGGGTTTTTTGATGATAATGCTTTCTGATAGAAAGCTCTCTTGACCTTCTTAATCTTTGTCTGTATAGTGTTTCTTACTTCGCGGAATTTATTCCAGACATGACTCAGGTTTGTTTTGTGAGCCAAATATCTGAGCTCGTTTCGTTCTTTTTGAAGTTGTTTCACATCACTGTGATTAACCAGGGTGCAGGAGGGCGTGTGATTTTAGATCTGCGTAGTGGTGCATGTCTGTCGAGGCAATCTTTTATTAATGAGTTAAATATATCTAGTTGCTGATCTGGATCATCGATACCGTAAACGATATTGAATGGAAGTGATGCAATATCGCCTATAAAAGCTTTTTCATCAAACTGTTTTTCATCGCGTAGTAATTTAAATCGTGGCTGGAATCTGCAAGCTCTTATATTAATGCAAACGTAAGGCGCATCATGGTCGCTGACTGTAGGACATGGTAATACATTACAATAGGTGACACGGTTTGGGGTATTACTAATTATGTGGTCAATAAGTGTTGCAGAAGTAGGAGCAGTACGAGTAGGACATTGCACGTGTTGATAAAGATTCAGCGATTCCAGTAAATCAGTATATTTCTTAACTTGGGGTAATTCAGGTTTCAACAGGTCGATATTCATGTCGCCGGTGACGACAAGTAGACCATCCCAGAGGACATTTAGCTGGCTTAGCAAATTTTCGGTCTTGTCCATCCAAGCTTGGAAGTCCTGTAAACGCTCCGATCGATACAATACTCCGAGCAACATCTTACTGTGTTTATTTTTACCAGGTATTTCCAGCCATATGTGTTCTAGTTCAGGTTCGATGTCTTCAATATCTGTACGCCTCTTGTAGTTAATAGTATCCCTCAAATACACACCAACACCTCCCCCACGAATTTTATCTAGGTTGCGAAAGGCGCTAGAGTAGCCAGGAATGTTAACATATTCTAATAAGTGAGGATTGTTCTTTAGCCATGTTTCACTCATTGCTATTATATCAAATGGATATTTAGAAACGGTGACGAGTAGCTCATCAAATGTCGACACCATGCATACTTTGTGTGTTTAAATGTGCAAGCCTAAGTTGGTTAGCCCTATTAGTGAGGACATTGAGATGTTCATCGGGCATGTCGTTGAGAAGATCGTCACTGGTTTCTTGTCGAAAAGAAGCATCTAAATTAGGTTGGCCATGGAAGGGTAGCAGTGATATTAAACATCTATTACAGTGTACACAACGCAACCACGTCCAAATTACGTTTCTCCTGGAATAAATCGATGTGGACGTGTTAAAATAGCAAAGGTGTTTCTGTTTACATAAAAATCAAGAAATCATCTAATGAGTATATCTATATAGCATTACCCAGCTGTCGGTAAATAATTTGGTATTTATTCCACATTTACTTACAATGGCCGATGCTTCTTGAAACTTTACGTTAAATATCGATGAGATCTCTTATACACTAAAGTTGATGTTATGAAATTACAATTTACAAAAAAAAACAGACAAGGAACTACATTTAGGAATGTTTTACTAATCGAGTCCATGTTTTACTAATCGAGTCCTTGTTTTACTAATCGAGTCCATGTTTTACTAATCGAGTCCATGTTTTACTAATCGGGTCCATGTTTTACTAATCGAGTCCATGTTTTACTAATAGAGTCCATGTTTTACTAATAGGTCCATGTTTTACTAATAGAGTCCATGTTTTACTAATAGAGTCCATGTTTTACTAATAGAGTCCATGTTTTACTAATAGAGTCCATGTTTTACTAATCGAGTCCATGTTTTACTAATCGAGTCCATGTTTTACTAATAGAGTCCATGTTTTACTAATAGAGTCCATGTTTTACTAATAGAGTCCATGTTTTACTAATCGGGTCCAGTCCATGTTTTACGTACTAATCGGGTCCAGTCCATGTTTTACTACATGCCGTTCACGCAAAGCAAGACATGAGTTCAAACTTGAGCATTGAACGTAGTCTCAGACCATACTCAAATTCAACCTCGTCCCCAGGGCCTATTGAGGAAGGAGGCGAAGCAGCAAAGGCCCTGGTAAAGGCTGGTCACGTGATGCCTCAAATTTTGAATATTTCAGAATATTTAACTTTTCAAACCGGGGGTGCGGGCCGCTTTGATTTTATCAAACATGGCCGTGCAAAGGGGCGATAGAAGCTTTTGCGACTGAAACCAGACACTGAAACTATACTAACTATGATGATAAACTTTTCAACTGACAGTGGAAATAAATATATAGTCTGCGATGTTCTTCAAAAAAATATGGAATATAATCAACAGCAATACTTGTGGAAGATCAAGATTCAAAGAGAAGAGTCTAACACTGACTGACAACAGTAAATATTTCTTTTCAGCTTGGAAGCGTGTTTTATAATATTTGTCGTTTGGGGGTCAAAAACATACTGTCACTACTGTCAGTGAAGAATTTGATTTGGGACTTTGATGTACCTTTATGAAAAGATTACTACTGAATACAAATGTGCATGTAAAATGTGATTAGAACGTTTTAATATGAACAGTTGCACTGTCATTGACTCAATATATTTTAATGTGGGACAAACATTAAAAAACATTATTAAAAGTACTGTGCCAAGTGACAAAATTCCATGCCGACCATGGGTTACGTATGTATGCATTTTTATTAAACGTTTATACCAATATACACTATTTTAAACCTTTGTGTGTGAATTTTGTGTGTTGATTTTATGATATTTGACAACCATGAATATTAATATAATATGTTAACAGCAAGTTTACAGTATATCGTATAATACAAAAGCAATATCACTGATATTATCACAAGACTCAAGTACTGTACATGGTCTAATAGATGTTTCTAAGTCAGCAACTATGCTCTTTGACATTGTGGCAATCAGGTATTCTTGGGGCTTTTAGCTTGGTTTTTCACTTTTTTGATACAACTATAGAATACCCACAACTTTCACACCTTACCGCTATTAATTCCTTGTAAACATTGTCAATTTACTCAAAATTGATCTAATATATGATTGCCTCCTTCAAAAACCCCCAGTCAAATTTGAACCAAACTAACATACTCATATGATTTAATCTCTAAACTTTACCCTTAAACTATTTTGAAGTGATTCTTGTACTTATTTATGTGTCAATGAATGCGGAAAAATGGCGAGGTATTCTATAAGCATTCCGGCATGTGTGTTTTTGAACCTTCACTGCTGAGAGAGCATGCCATGGGTCTCCCCAAATTATCTGAGCACTTCAACCAGACCAACAGCTGCCAAATGGCAACTACTATGCTCAGAGGTGGTAAGAATTTTGCAGATTCAATACCAACTGTTCAAAACACTCCAACTGAATACCTAGGAATACCTATTAGAAACAGTTTCTTTATTTCTCCGACTACTAGAGGGGAAATTGAACAAGAAATTAGTAAGTTTAAATCAAGTAAAGCTGTTGGTCCCTTTAGTATACCAATTTTTGTCCTCAAAATGGTTAAATCAGTCATATCTGAACCTCCAGAATATTTAATTAATATGTCATTCTCTAATGGAATTGTTCCAAATGACTTTAAAATTGCGAATGTCATACCAATTTACAAAAAAGGTTCTCTTAGTTGCACATGCAACTATAGACCTATCTCACTCCTTTCTGTTTTTGACAAATTATTAGAAAAGTTAATGTATAAGAGACTATTAAATTTTTTGAACAAAAATAGAGTCTTATTTGAAAGGCAATTTGGTTTTCGCACCATGTATTCAACTGAGTATGCAATTTTATCAATTGTAGATAAAGTACAAAAAGCAATTGACAATCGTAATTATGCATGTGGAATATTTTTGGATTTCAATAAGGCTTTTGATACTGTTAATCATGAAATTTTAATTCAGAAATTATCTTGCTATGGGGTAAGGGGCGTTGCTTGCAAGTGGTTTATCTCATACTTACGTAACAGAAAGCAATTTGTAACTATAAATAATGAAACATCAAACAACTGCCCAATCAGCTGTGGTGTTCCACAGGTTTCAGTTTTAGGACCTTTACTTTTTCTACTATATATAAATGACTTTCAAAATTGTTCTAAATTATTTGAATTTACGCTATTTGCTGATGATGGTAATTTGTTTTTTGAGGATAATAACTTATCCTCTATGGAAGCAAATATAAATTCTGAATTGGTTAATATTGACAATTGGTTGTGTGCAAATAAATTGTCTCTTAACATTGAAAAATCTAATTATGTAATATTTCATGCTAGACAGAGAACTGTTAGAGATAACTTCAACTTGTCAATGATGAACCAACCTCTTAAGCGAGATACTTCAATCAAGTATTTGGGTATTCTTATTGATTCTAATCTCAGTTGGAAAAGTGAAGTAGAAAGTATTGCTAAAAAAATAAGAAGGAGTGTTGGTATAATTTCAAAACTTCGTCACTATGTTAATAAAAAAATACTATTAAATCTTTATTATTCACTGATTTATCCTTTTCTAATTTATGGTTTACTAGCGTGGGGAAATACTTATAAAACAACATTGA